ATACTACACAGTATCGATTTTTTCCCCCACCCCTAGTAATGACTGCTGTGGTTACCATGGTTTGAGGAGATCCAGGGCTTGAGAAAACTTGTTGTTGAGGACCAGGTTGAGAGCACACTGAGTCTCCTGGATGGCAGTCTGCAGATCCATGTTACCCGCCCTACACAAAGGCAAAACCAGCAGTCAGCACAGGGCGTGACTAAAAGTGAAAGATACACAGGAAACGATCCTCACACACACTCAGTCTGTGCGCTGCAGGTGTGTGTGCATGTGTGTGTGTACTCACGCAGGTATCCGATCAAAGGCATCTTCGAAGCAGTCCTGAAACACACAGAAACACAGAGTTTAGTTCTCAGCATCATCCTCCAGGTGACAGAAAGGCCTGCGAGACGTCTGATTGGACGCGATTCTAAAGCACCACATTTCGTTTGTACAATGGCCGTGTGTAATCAGCAACAAGTTTGCACTGCTCGGGAATTATTGGAAGGCTACATGACCCGAATCCTGAACCACGCCGCCATGACTCTGACCTACTCGAGGGCTCTGTGAAACCATCGGGGTAATTTCAGATCTGTACCACGAACTATTCATTCACCGCCACACACGCTGGGAGCAAAAAGTGTTGAAACCATTTTTATCTCATTCTTCAAAGTGATGTAAAGAATCCATCAGGTTTCAGTCTGAATTATATTCTATAAAATAATACTTTCAAAAAGTTTTTTGACTGTTAGGTAATTGTAGTTTGCGTTTAATCGAAGTGCTTTAAAATTTTAGCGTAGAATGAAGTTATTTCCGACTATCCAGGCAATGTTGTATTTTATTTTTATTTTATTTATTTTTTGGGTCTTGTGAATTTATTCCATTTTTTTTTATTTTTAACCTTTCAGACACTACTTTTTGAGAGTTATTCAAGAGTTTTCAAAGCTTAAGGTGTCTGGATTTTCCGAATTGTTATCAGTGACTTCTCGAGTTGTCCCACATTTTCAGGGTTAATCCAATATTTGTATCAATTGTCCAGAAAATTCAGGGCTTCCTCTTAAAAAGCCTTTGAGATTTATTCCTGAGTAATCAAGGGAATACAGGACTTATGATAAATATTCTGACAATTGTAAGAGCTTTTCAAACTTTTTGCAATTTTTCTGCCTTTTCACAATTTTGCACAAATTTCAGAGTTATTCCAGTTTTGGGGGAATAGTGTGTCAGTTTTATGGACATCCCAGGGCTATTTGAGAGTGCCTGGATTATTCCTAAATTTCAGGTTTTTTGTTTGTTTGTGTTACTCAGACTTTTCAGCGTTTGCAGGGCGTGTTCCAAGAATGCCCTATATTCCTATACTTTTCAGTTACTATGCTGTAAAGTGTTACAGCCCTGAGAAAGCAGCCATAGAAATTAAAATATGAATAGTTGAGAGCGTTTCCATCATTCAGTGTAAGATGGTTTCTCTTAAGTCTGGAATTTGTGTTTTATATTTTAGTTAATACCTGCAGCGCTAATAAGGGTCACAAGGGTCATAAGTGGCTTAACATGAGTAATAACAATCATGCTGCAGAGCATTAATTCGTTAGGCTAATTCAAGGTTTTCCATTCATTTCAATGCAGTCAGTGATTCAGGGAAGATTGCTGTTAGAGGAACTGCTGCCCATTGCTTAATGCTAAGACCTGAATGCTAAGACCTGAAAGACAATATTTCTAGCATAAATCCAAAAACACTTTTACACACATCTACACGTGTAAGCACGACTGCAACACTTCAGAGGTCTCAACTATGAAATATAAGGATTCATATATGTGCGTAATGGTGTAAACGGATCTGTGTCCACACTACATAAGTAACATTTACACAGCATGTCAGCAGCAGGCTAATAATAGCTACACAGTGGCTCCTTACATAATAGGGTGCAGCTGCAGTCAGCGCTGTAAAGTAACTCTGCCTGCAGGCAGCAGCTTCTCACTGCTCCACATTGGAGCACTGTGACCCATCTAACCACAAAAAATATATTAAAACCAAAATGATATAAAAGAAAAGAACCAAAAAAGTGCAAAAGAAATCATTGTGAGTCAATAAGAACACAAAAATATCATAGAAATGTGGAAAAAAAGCCTTGGAAAGAGAAAAGAACAAAAAGTGACAACATAAAGAAGTGAAAACAAATAAATAAAGAAAATAAAGAGACACAAAAACACCCCAAAAAGAAGCAAGACTAGTTAACAGACAGGGTATGTAAAAGAAAAAAGCAGGAATTAGAGACATGAAGCAAGTTACCTATAAATAAACAAATAAATAAAAGTGCTAAACTTCAATAAAGTACCATACCAGCTTTATTTATAAAGCACTTTCACATAAAACCAGGGTTCACAAAGTGCTGTTCAAATAGCATAAGCAAAGTAAAAGTAAAACAGAAAAATAAGTTAAAATAACCAAATAAATAAAATAAAACATGGTGAAACAAATTGAGTGAACCTCTTAATATGTTTTAAGAAGAGTTTTAAACTCAGAAAGAGAAGAGGCCTGCCTAACGTGCAAGTACTAAGAAAAGACAACAAATGAGTATAAAGACACACTCACAGAAACAACCACAAAAAAGCAAAACAACTAGAAAGACTTTAAAGCAATATAAATACAAAGCAGTATCAAAATAATCACAAAAACGTTCAGGAGAAACAAAAATTACAACAAAGGTGAAAAAATAAAAATAAGTACAAAAAAGACTTTAAAAGTGGATCTGTTCATTTTTCCAGTGTTTTACCTCATTTTGATTGTGGTTTTCCTCTGTTTGGGGGTTATTTTATGTTGTTTACTAAGAGTTCAAATGGCTTCAAAGAAACAAATTGACAAGAAAGAAAAATAAATTTAAATAAATTCACAAGAACAAAAAATAAAACATCAACAAAGAGGCAGAAAAATTCTTATTGCAAGCAAACAGCAACAAAAAAATGACAAATAAGCGATGTCCTAAAAAAAACCCAGTACAGAAACACATTACTGAAAATAATGAAGGCCTCAAAAAATACATAATCAGAAGAACTGACGACCAGAAAAAACTAAAAAATATAGAATAAAAGAAAAAAAACTAAATCAAAAAAAGAGAAAAAGTCAAAACCATGGACAAGCAAACATCCATAATAAAAGAAAAAGAAAGATTGGAATAAGTAAGACAGGATTAGCACAAAAAGTAGAAAAAAAAATTAAAATATATACACGAGTAAAAATAAAATAACCATGAACCACCACATTTCACGCGTTGACTCATTTAAATTTAACGATAGAATTTTTAATGAAACAACAAAGTAATGCAAGTATATCAGACGTCTCAAAGCGTGCACAGGAGCAAATAAAGGACATTAACATGTGCTGAGTGTCAGCATCCCTGAAGGTTAAAAATGGGATCCAAATACAACCTGAAAGTAGGAAAACTTTCACAAACTTTCACTTTCACCTGGTTTACGCGACGCTTTCACAGCAGGTTTTTGCAAGAATTACAAACTTCACGGAGTGACTCTTCCTGCAGGCAGCAGCTTTCAAGTCTGATTTTTCTGACATGTTTACATAACTCACTACAGCCCTGTGTGTGTCTTTTACCCTGAGAGAGAGGCCTTTAAATGAAAACAATGGAAAATGAGACAAGGACAGAACACAGAAGAATAATAGGAGGCAGAAAATGACTAAAATACAAGACATAATCCCTTCAGAAGTAACGTTTGTAAAAAGTTAAAAACAAAACCCCACAAAGAGAAGCAAAATTACCTCCAATGCCCAAAAGACAAAATTAACCACACACAACAAATACAAACATGACAGAGGCCAAAAACCAACCAGAAAAAGAAATGACATAATGGAGAAACTGAAAATGATTAAAAGTAGATTTTAAAAAAAGGAAAAGTGAAATAAAAAACATCCAAAATGCCACAAAAGGAAGTAAAAGGCCCACAAAAAACAGAAACGATGCTATCAGAAAGAGCATAATTCCCACAAACAGGGATGGAAAGAAAAATATCTAAAATACTAACAGAAACACGTAAAATGCCATCAAAAAGAAACAAAATTCCCACAAAAAGAATGAAAGCAAACGTAAAAAGAACCAAAAGTCAGCAAACAATGTAAAATAACCCCCAAAAAGAGGAAAACCCCAATCAAAATGAGGTAAAAAAAAGTATGTATGTATAATGTAGAAAGTTTTTATTGGCTGAATTATGGACCGTGTGTTATTTTATGTGCAAGTTTTTCTCTGTTTGAGAGTGAGTTGGAGAAAATGTAGCAGATGATGGAGGAGGAGGAGGCCGGCTGCAGTCAACAGAATATTTTCACAAAACTGGAAAAGTCCAAAAGTAAAAATGTGTGAATCCAAACAGACGTTGCTTCCTCTCTCTTTTCATTCCAGCAGATGCTCCGTGTGACATTCCCCTCTCGCTCTGTCAATGTTTTGGTCTGTTTGCGGCATTCACGGCAAAGGAACAGCTAGCGATCACAGTGAATAAGACCTGGTTATGTTGTAACTCAGGCCTTGCCAAAGTGTGGGGCCCGCCCAAACAAACAAAAAAACCCAACGCTTGGACACTGCTAGCACGGGGCTCCCACACAAACGCAAAGCAGGAGGTGAAGCATAGCTGAATATGTTTCCAAACCAACTTCCTTCCAACCCAAAGACTAGAAAATATGGTGAAGCATATCTTCTCTTTGTTTCACCTGCACAAGTGCCGAGGTAGGTTTCCCTGCAGAATTGGTTTCCCCTGCGTCGGGAGCACGGACTGGGCTCTCCAAATCACAGTATCCCACATTCTTGATTTTTAGTTCACAAACACTTGTTGTGATGACTAACTGCTCCTGACATTTTGGAGATGTGAGCTCTTTATACAGTAAAGTTACAGTGGGATCCAAATAATATCAGGCTGATCCTGCACGATTTGTTCCCTCGGTTCAAATCACGGACAAACAGTATCCCACAGCTGTTTATGTTTTTATACCCATTTTGCACAGAGAGGCATTTTTTAAAAAATATTTTTCTTGTAAAACAAAGGGGGGTCTAGCAAAAAAAGGTTTGGGAACCACTGCTGTAACTATAGCTGATAAAGTTATTTAAAGCAGAAAGCTAAGTTACATTATCAGCCCCCAGCATGTGACTGTGACTATGTGATTAGGTAGAGGATCATCAGGGGGTCCTTTGTCCCTCTTTGGGGGGAAACTCCCACTTGGTTTAAATCTGGGACTCTCCACCATTTGACCTTAGAACTGAAGAAACTTCTCGGATGAGAGGTGAAACATCTTCAAGCAACTCAAAGAAGTCCAGACGCTTTTCTTTCCAAGCTTCTTAGACAGTCTGACC